TACTACATTCAAATTAAATTAAATTACTTTACGCTGGTAATTAATTATGCAATTAATTACTCAATTAATTATAATTTAACCACAAACCACATCAACTATTTTAATTGTATTGAATTGAAGCAATCTTTTATTCAGTATAATATCACATTAATAAATTACTAATTAATTTTGTTAATTAATAAATTAAACCTCTATATAACCCAATTTGTGACACATCATTCCACTATACTTGCGCCGTATTTGATAAAATAACATATTAGAGTGATGTTTTCCGCCATGGGGCGGGCATTTTCATTATACACTCTTTTGCCAAATCTGCTTTTGCTTTTTCTGGTCCTTTTCTCTGGAACTTTCTACTTACTTCTCTGACTACTTCTCCATCACTTGCGAAGTTCAGAGCGGATCTCAAGACCCATCTGTTTTCAAAATTCATTGAGGAGCGCTGTTGAACATCGCGGAAATAGCGCTTTATAAGCTAATTGATTGATTGATTGATTGATTGATTGATTGATTGATTGATTGATTGATTGTTCAACTGGGGCATGGGGGTGACACAAAAAGTTTTGGAAACTTCGTACCAAAGAATTTCAAAATACATTGTATTGTATTGTATTAAATTGTATTGTATTGTATTGAATTGTATTGTATTGTATTGTATTGTATAAATAAAATCTTTGTATTAGTATTATTATTTTATACTTAGAAGGATGGTGAAAAAATTATTAATTTAAAATAGCTTTCATAAACTTTTATAATTAACTTTTTTATTCCATAATTTTTTCAAGAAGGTTCAAATTTAGAAATTTCATTTGATATTGAAGGGTTGTTCTTATGCTTATAAATTCATCGTCAAATCACCATAGTAAGAAGGATTATAGAAATTTTCCTTTTAAAATACATTCTCAAATTTTTCATTTGGTATCAAATAACTATCAAATATTAAAGAATAAGAAGAAAATATGAATGACAATTGAGAATCTAATAAGTTTTTTTTTCAGAAAAAATCTGACACCTCTTAAGAATGCAACCAGAGAGTTGAATGGTTGAACGTTTAAAATTTTATTTTAAAATCAGTTTTTTAACAAATCTTCAATAATAGAGTTAAACGCGAATAATTATTTTTATTTGTAAATTAATCGAATCTTATTTTAACTCAAATTTAAATCACATTTTAAAGCAAATCTTCTTTCAATTAAATGTATCTTTAATCGCGTTAATGATGTTTAGCATTGCCTCATTAACGCTTTCATTTCAATTTAAAATATTGACCACATTTCATTTTCATCCTCATTTCCTTATCATTATCATCATAATGTATATTGTTATCAGCAACATCTTCACCAGAATGACATCACAATCTACATCGTCATCATCATCGTTGTGGATGACGTCATCATCGTGGATGACGTCATCATCGCTATCACTACGATCGGGGTGCAATACTCCTGACTCGTAACGGTGAGGCACGTGCTACGTTTAAACGGTTTTTGAGAATTTTTTTGTTTGTTTGAACCTTTCAACAAAACATTCTCTAAAAACTTTTCTTAACTTGATGTTTGCTGCTGGCTTATAGCGGCTTCAAACGTCACACACGTACACGACGCACACACGCACGCACACTCATACACACATACAAACACACATACAAACACACACACACATACACCAACGTTAATGTTAATGCCAACATACCATCGCGCCGACAACAAAAAAAACTCATACACATACTCACATTAAACAAGCAGATCTATACACACACACACACACACACACACACACACACACACACACACACACACACACACACACACACACATTTACACACACACACACACACCACACACACTCACACACACATATTAACTTTAAACAAGCAGATCTTAAGACTGACAACTCCATCGCCTTCCTGATCATACTCCTCTTCAAAGGATGGAAATATAAGGAGAGAGTTGTGAAACGTCCACAACAACACGGCACCTACTGCATCTGCCATAGCCAGATTCGCCAGAAAGACATTGTAGACGGTTTTTGGTCCTCGGATTCTGACTATAGCGATGAAGCTGACAACGTTAAAGATGATGCCCAATGCAGTTAAGATGCTAAATGGGATGCCACGATTCCAGTAAAGTTGGATGATTTCCGCTTCTAGAGAATATTTACTGTCTAAATCGAGTGTTGTGGCTTCGATGTTGTCGTAGTTGTTGTTGGTGTAGTTTGGTTCTGTTGTTGTTGTTGTGTTGTAGGTTGTTTTTGTTGTTGGTGGTGTTGTTCGTTGCGTCGTTGCTGTTGTTAGCGAAGTTGTTGATGCGATTGTTGCAACGAGGACGATTACTGATGTCAAAAATGTTGACTTTGTCGCTCTTACAAGTGATGATGTCGAAGATGACGATGATGATGAAGAAGAAGATGATGATGATGGAATGTGGAATGTGTTGATGTTGTAGATGTTGTTGTTAAACTGGAGCATGTTAGCTGAATTCTGCATTAAACTTTTCAGTAAAGAATTTTAGTAAGAGTTTCTATTGACTTCTGTCAAATTATGTTATGTTGTGTTAGGTTATTTTACGTTGAATTATTGTTCATGTGACAAGTCAAATTCCAATTATTTGTTTGGCATACGTTCAAATTGCAAGTTGTAGCAGCAGAAGTAGCAGCATCAACAACAGTAGTGGTTGCGTAGTAGCAGTAATTTTTGTTTTTTTTTGTTGTTGATATTTTTTGGCATTTTTTTCATCCACATAACTTCGTGACCGTCATTTTGTTTCTGAGATTGCAAAAAAATTTATAAATAAAAAAAAGACAAATGTATCAACATTGAAAAAGGCTTTAAATATTTTAAACAAATATTTTGGCTGAAGAAATTTAATAAAAAGTTTCTTGAAACACAATTTGATCAACAACTTTACATGACAACATTTTTTAGGTGATCCGTTATAAACGGCTATTAAAATATTTTCAGCAGTAGTAGCAGCATCAGTATTTGTTACTTATTCACTTTATTAGAATTCAATTTTAAATCCTTCAACCGCCTCTAGAACCCTGAACATTTTTATAGCGCCCAATTTTGTCGTGTTAAACGTAGCGTCTCGACATTCCAAAGGTTCATAAAGTATGAACGTGCCTCTATTGGTGTAGAGGTTAAAATTCTTCTTGCGTATGATCCGGGCCACATTGCAACATGGTGTAACACGACGTTTCTGTCATGTGGTGAACTGTCTCTTAACTGCTTCTACTATTATTGTTGCCAGTAGCTTGCATCTGCTTCATTACTACTACTACTACTACTGCTGCTGCAACTACCACTACTACTGCTACTACTCCTACTACTACTACTACTGCTACTACTCCTACTGCTACTACTGCTACTACTACTACTACTACTGCTACTACTACTACTTCTACTACTACTAATATTACTCCTTCTACTACTACTACTACTACTACTACTTCTTCTACTACTACTGCTACTACTACTACTTTTACTGCTACTACTCCTACTACTCCTACTACTACTACTACTACTACTACTACTACTACTACTACTGCTACTATTACTACTACTATTACTACTTTTACTACTACTACTATTACTTCTTCTTCTACTACTACTACTACTACTACTACTACTACTACTACTTCTACTACTACTGCTACTTCTACTACTGCTACTTCTACTACTGCTACTACTACTACTACAAATAATAATAATAATAATACCGTTGTTACAACAACTGAAAAAGGTTTTGTTTAAATAAAAAAAATCTTACATATTTCTCTCTAACTTTTTTCCTTAAAAACATTTCAACTCCAGTTTTATTTCCAGTAATTTTGGTCTCAAAATTCCTCCACGTGTTTCTTCGGCCCATTCACAACGCGGTACGTAATATACGCTAGTTTTATGACATGGACAACTGCCAGGTGCATTAATGTCACGAGAGTATTTTCATGTTGGAGTGGTGCTTCTATGATGATATATTGATGTGATGATATATTGATGTGTTTGTCTGATGACGTCACGGTGGTATGATCTTGTGTGGTTGTGATAGTGTTAGGCGATGATACATGAATGATGATATGAAATGATATGATATGTTATGATATGATATGATATGATACGATACGACGTTACGATTTGTAAAAAAAAGAGTCAGTGTGTTTGTATATGTGTATGTATGTGTGTGTGCGTGTGTTTGTGTTTGTGTGTGTGTATGTGTGTGTTTGGGATTGTAATTTGCATAGTTGGACAGAGTGTGGATTATACATACAGACAAGGGAGGTTTCGCATTCAAAACCCACGTAAAAAACTCAATTATTAACTCAAACGTCAGCACTCTAAAATTTTCCACGCATAATGTCACTATTTTCAAATATTTTTACTCATTTTTTCTCTCGCCACTTCAATTTAGGTTGGTAAAATAAGTTTTTAGATACGTGAGGTAGAAAATTTATATTTAAAACTTTTTATCAATGCAATCAAACATTCTTTCGCTTTCGGCGGGCCAAAATACGACCACTACTACTACTTCTACAGCAACAACAACAACAACAACAAAACAACACAACAACAACACCACAACCACAACAACAACAATAAATACACACATACACACACACTAACACACACACATAGAGAGAGAGATGCATTATGAATACAATGCACCATAATACAACGCTGTCCATAAAATAGACAACAGGTGAACTATTATTTACGGTTTATATCTGTTTAATAAATAATAACAAATAATAATAAGAATTATTATTATTTGTTATTATTATTGCTGTTGCCATTATTACCACTGGGGTTATTATTAATTTTTCTTTCAATAAAACTTGGATAAAACCAAACTAAAAAGTAATAAAACTAGGAATGAAACCGTGCATAAAGCTTTAAGAACGGCGACCGGGATGATAATAACGACGATGATGTTAAAGATGATGATGGTGATGAGGACGAAGATGACAGGACCGAATTTGATAACATCATCATCTTAAAATAATCATTTTTATTAACAACTTTTCCTCTCATTTCATCATCACTTCTTCACCACTTCAACACTACTTTATCATTTTGTCATCATTTCATCACCAACACATAATCATTGTAACAGTAACCCATCAGCCAACCAGCCAAGCAAAGCAGACGTTTAATTTATAAATTTGGGAATCCTTCGAAATGCAGCCTACAGCCTGTCAAATTTACTTATATAAACATTGCTTGGGCGCATCCTTACAAACTTTTACGCGACTAGATATTACCGCACACATAGAAACTAGAGCCCTGCGCGGTTTGCGGTTGTCGCGGTTTAAGCCGCAAAAACCGCACCTCATCAAAACCGCACCTCATCAAAACCGCAAAATCATGCGGTTTTACGCGGTTGCGGTTTTGAAATATGCGGTTTTTCCGCGGTGCGGTTTTTTTTATCAAAACCGCGGTGATCGCAAAAATTTTGTTAAATATTTTTGTTCGTCCATAACATTTTAAAAATTGCATTATCATTGTAATAATTTTATATATTAAAATCTTAATATCTTTGGAAGCCGTTGAAGCAACCATTTTTTTTTCCTGTTTACTTTGAAAGAAGTAGTTATTTTATTTACGGCGTGGTTAATTATCGATTATTTTATAAAAATGTCCGAGGTAAAAAAATGTTGAAATTGATCCACAGGTAGATGTAATTGATAAACAATTTTTGATTAAATTGATGCTGTCCAAAAGTTTTGAATGTTTCGTCAGAAAGGGTAGGACCATCTCTCAATTATACACTCCAAAAGAGACGGTCCAGTTTAAATCCATACAAAATTGACAAAATGTTATTTATTAAGAGTAACAGTGATTTGGATGTAGATAGTTGTGATTTATAATGTCAATAAAAGCATTAATGTTGTTTATCGTTTCTTGCGGTGCGGTTGCGGTGCAGTTGCGGTTTTCGGCGTTGCGGTTTTGTGCGGTTGCGGTTTTTGACGCTGCGGTTGCGGTGCGGTTGCGGTTTTTGAAAATTCCAACTGCGCAGGGCTCTAATAGAAACACATACACTCTCTCACACACGCACAAAGACAAACACAAGCGTACAAGCAGATATAAAATTTATGTATAAAAACACACACATAGCTACACAAATGTGCACACATTTACACATACAAACAAACATACACAGACGTATACACAAATATTCACACATCCGCAAAAAAAAACATTCAAATTGGATCAACTAAAACATAACAAACACACTCAATCCCACTTAATCGCATAAATGTATGGACGTGAATAATTAATAGCACCAACTTAAACGAGTTCACACATCCCACAAGCAGTTTCTATCTAAAATTGAATTCCAATTTAGACGGGTGTGCTGTGCACGGTTCCCGAGAGAAAATCAGACAGACTACCAAACAGACAGCTAAGCAGACAACTAGGCAGACAACCAGAGAGAAAACCAGACAGACTACCAGACAGACTACCAGAAAGACAACCAGACCAACAATCAGGCAGACAAATAGACCGACAACCAGGTAAACAACCGAGAGTTAATTGGGCCGACAAACGGACAATTAGTCATAAGCAAACAAAAATGAAGAAGAATTACCCAGGCCACCTTATGTGACATCAGTTCCCATGTAATGCTTGATTTATCGTCTGGCATTAAAAAGTACTCTCTAATATTAGGTTGGGGTTTTTTCTGGCGTCAAACAGAAGCGTGTGTGTATTCGGTGTGTATTTCGTGTGTGTGTGTATGTGTGTGCGTGTGTGTATTCGGTGTGTAATTCATGTGTGTGTGCGTGTGGACGGCGTGTGTGTGAGTGTAAGGTGTATATTTGATGTATTTGATATATATATCACACACACACGCACACAAACACAAACACACACACACGCACGCACGCACACACAAACAAACAAACCTAGATTTCTTTATATCAAAGAACCGACGTGAAAGCACGAAACACTCAGCCACGCACAACAGACATGAATTCATTTTTTACAGTCAACCATTTGTCTAGATTAACATTTTTCTTCGCACTAAGCTCTTTCGTCAAATTTTTTTTGAATAATGATAAAAATTTTTATGATCTTATAAAAAATCGTCAACCAGGCATTTTTTTAACATTTTTAAGACAAAATTTTTAGAAATATTTAAAAAAAATGAAAAATTGAAAACTCAAGAAAGTTTGCGGTTGAATTGGTTCACTCACTCCAATGCTTTTTTAATGAAGCTACTTTTAAAACTATTTTAAAGAAGAATATACAATCAATTCAAATCGAAATGTTTCTGAAAATGTTTGAATAAAAAAGTGAAATTTTTTGATTGATCTGTTTCATCATAGTCAAAAGTTAACAGTAGTTTGACTAGACATATGTATGACCAATCAATTAAATTTTGATTGTACCAAACTCTGCCAAACAAATAGAAGTTAGTTTTCGTTGAAAATTTTAAAATAAAATAACATGAAATTTATAAACCAGCTAACCTAATGACTACTACTAGATAGTGTAATGATTGAGGCAGCTTGTGCGTGATGTGTAACTTCACGTGTCTTCACGTACGCTTTGTGTGTGTGTGTGCGTGTGTGTGTGTGCGTGTGTGTGTGTGTGTATGTGTGTGTGTTGATATTTCTGAAGAATAATAATTAAGACAGTAGACGTGTATACTGTATAGTAATAACCTATTCATATAATCAATCATGCAACAGGCCTTTATGAAAAACCAAACTAATAAACTAATCTATAAATAATCAATCCCATCAAACAATCATTCCAT